ACACACACACACACACACACACACACACACACACACACACACACACACACACAAATCACACTTATTCTTTGCTATTTAGTCATTACTAGTCTTTGAATAAGAAATGAGCTTATATTTGTTTCTGGATGACTTGCTGTGCTCAGAGGGAATTGACTGGACACTGAAAAGCCACAAAATTCACATGCATTATTATCATTTTTATCATTTTAGTAGGTAAAATGACAGACGCAAGTGAATCCTCCATAAGCCTTAATGCACAACAGGGATTTAAACTCAATATTCTGGATAGAAATTCATACATAATGTCACAAGTATACATTAAACATGGATTCACATAAAGTAATAAAACATTAAATTACAACACAGCCAAACAAAACATAATCTCTTTTCTTCATTCTGGCAAAAAAAGCATTACTATGCTTTCCTATATTGCATCTGTGTTCTGCTCATTTATTTCCCCAGCAACACCAGGAAGTGCTGTGTAAATGCAATGATAATAAAAATAATAAACAAGCTGTCCTCACTCCCCAAACCAAAATATTATTACATTTCCAAGGCATGGATAGTGAGGGGGGGGGGGGATACGTAGCACTCAAAAAGCACTAAAGCATTGGGGAATGCATTTCATTAATATTAGATAACCCCCCCGCATCTACTGGTCCTCTCCCCAAATAAATACATAAATAAATAAGCCCCTCATAAAGAAAAGCCCAGCTCCAGCTGAGATAAACAATGACTCATGATTCCCTTCTCTTGTACCTCCAGGGCAAAATGTTTATTTTATTCTCACAGTCTGCCATAAATTAAGCTAACCTGCACCCATAAAACATTTACTATCTCAAGCAAAGTTGCCCCCGAGGACCTCCACATAAGCTGGCCGAAGAGTGAAGAAAACAAAAAGAGGAGTGGAGTGGGCCTGTGCTGGGTATTGACTGTTTATTTACTTGTGTCGATGGTGTCTTGCACAGGTATGAAGAACTGTGGTAGTGGGTCCTTGATGTCAATCACCTTCATATCCACAAGAACTTCAGGGCCCTAAAAAAACAGGAGAAGTAGTATAATCATAAAAAATCCTCCAAGTTTAACTTTAAAAAAACACAGAGAGACAGTAAAAGCCCTCCAGTTTTGGGGGTATTAGAAGAGAAAATGCAGTTAATGATGAGGTCAATGATATACTAAAAGCTCAGGAAGTATCTAAAGAGCTCTGGTAATTACTCTGTAAAAGCTGCATTTTTAAAATGAGAGAAGCGTCTGTGAACTTGTAATCATTTTCAACCTTTTGGCGATGAGCTGTGCGATGATGGGAGACAGAGGAGGCAGTCTGATCAACAGAATTGGACTAGTTAAAAATAATCAGAGACTGTGTAGTTGACATTTTCAAGCATGACTCCTTCCTGCCTCCCATTACATTTTCATTTTTTGCCATAATAAATTGCAATAATACACAGCGGCCGTGGAGAGTGGGGCGAGCCAGGCGTGACTCGATCCGTCCGAAAAGCTTGGATTACACCACTGCTGTTGCTTGACTGTCATTACCATTAGAGACATTTTTTATTCATAGTTTTACACTGACATAAGGAGGAATATGGATGAATGTTATTACAATGCATGAAGCCTTGTTTTTCTTTTCTTTTTTTTTTATTCCTTTTTTTTCTGGAGAGATTTTTATTTTTTTTCCATCACAACCTGACAAAAAGGGACTATCTACCTTCAACCTAGAGTATGATAAATCACAAACTATTTACCCCCCCCCCCCCAACATAATTTAGGGGCTAATTTTACAGAATCTGTTTTTGTCATCGACAATTACAGCGAGAGTTCCATTGACTGGCAGACAAAATAGCCTTTGTTGATGGTTCTGTCATGTTTTATTTGTGTCCTAGTCTTTAAAACAATGTAGACAGACATTTTAAGATAATACACAGGAACTGTGGAAAGGCTATTTGTATGCTATATGCTAAACTGGGGGCCAAATTGTGCCCAGGCATGAGGCAGCCGCAGCCAAGCTGCCTGACTTTTAGAGGACGTACGGAAAAAAAAATATGACTTGATTAAGCACTAAAATTGAGAGGATGCAAAGTAATAACAAAAATTTGGGTTTCGTTTACAATGCTGTCTGCCTTCCCCACCTGCAATCCAGGGAAACCTAATTAATAGACAGCCAATAGTAAGCTGCATGAGCTGCGGTTGGACAGGTTGATAACTCTGGTGGTGTAAGCAGGTGTATTTATGGCCACAGAACAGCTGACAGCCAGGCAGAAACACATCAACCGTAGGCTGCAGGCAGGCGAAGAGTCCAAAAATGACCTAACCGCATGATGAGAACTGCAAAGATCATTTTAGACACAGAGGAGTCGAGGCTGCTCGGATTGAGAGTACTATATATATATATATCCACACTGAAAAGCTGCTTTTAGAGGAGCTATGTCGTTCAAAGAAAACACAACGAATTTTCATATTTAAAAACTTTTCTGCACATCATGTTTCAAAAGTCACTGGTTGGTAACAATTTTGTCCACAGGGATGGTGTTGATTGAATAAACTTGAATAGTTAAAATACAGCACATTGTTCTTTCATGAATAAACATAAATAAGATCCTCAGGAGGGCATGAAAAAAACAATATCCCTCCACAGTATTATTACACTGGAATATGCATGCAAATCCATTATTTGTACAACTTCAAAACTGCACTGCCAATGCAGGCCTTTTTTTAAGTGGGACTTTCACAGATCAAAGTGCAAAGTGCATTAAGATATTCTGGTAGCAGGGAGGTTAGCTAATAACTGCTGGCAAACGGAGACTGTGCTTCAGATGAGACGCTGGTGGAAAAAAGGCACGGGGAAGCAGAGAAGTTTGCTTGCTTACTGTTTTCCTGGAGAAGCAGAGGTAGCGAGTGACCTTGGATTTGAATAAACCGTCCTTCCACAGGTCGGCGTCAGAGCCATCTGTTGTTTGTGCAACCTATGTGGAAAAAAAAAGATGAAAAAAAAATACAAGGAGAGGAAAAAAAGACATGCAGAAGGTGGGATAAAGTTAATGTATGTATGCCATGGGCGTGCTGCTTCTGCCTCTTTCTTTGCATACTAGCCTTAATTAACGCTTGCCTACACTTGTGCTCCATCTCATTAGTGCTCTGCGTGGGTAAAGTCTTAGCCTCCAAAAAGGTGGCTAAAAATATCATCCCTTGGGAGCCGGCTGATTAAAGATACCCTGACAAGGATCTGCTTTAATAAGGAAACCAAACTTCAGTGTACTTCAATGGAAAAGCTGGGAATGCATTTGGGGTAAATGTTGAATATATCTTTATTTAGGGAAACCTTCTGTGGTAATAATGAGGAAGACACAAATAAACTGAGAATACTGCATATGCACAAACTGTAGTTTCACTGATATTGCTTTAAAAGGTCAGTTTTGGTAAAAAAATAATAATAATAAAGTTAACACCATCGTAAATCCAAAGATTTGAACACCTCAGTTATTCAGAAAATTGTTTTTTGTTGTAAAAATAAAAATAAAAAGCCATTAAAATAAATAGAGGGCTTTGTATCGACAGCATGTGCACTATAAGTCAACCTCAAGGTTCTGCTATATTTCTACGTAAGTGAAGATGCAGGGCAAAATGCTAAAGCAAAATGTAACCTGCAGACTGCATCTCAAAGACTCTTCAATCGTTCGAGCAAACATGCTTGGCTGAAACGTCATGTCCCATTGGCTATCATCTGAGAATCACCTAAATAACTGCCAGAGGTATTTTCTAAAGGGATCCTTTACAAAGAAGAGTCAATCTAATGAGGTTCATTCAAATGAAGAAGTCATAGATCTCTGCACCCACCCACACACATTACCCCCTTGACAATAATGATGAATGACCCCAGTGACTAGGTAGGGGAATCATGGCATGAGGAGATTCATGCAAAACCACCACTGACTAGATGGGATGAGAGCTCAGACTAGCGTGGGGAACAGAGACAGATAGCAGGATGAGAGAAAGAAAATAAGGAGAAGACGAGCAGGGAGACGGATTGTGGGGTGTCTCCAACAGCAGTTCCATGAAAGGTCCCAGAAGGAGACTATACATCACCAGCCTCCCTCTCCCTTACAAGACAACCCGTCTTGGCCACTTTTTCCAGGTCAGTAGCCAGCACATCCTGTCAGCGTAAACAAAGGGCTCGCTTTGTGAAACCCAAAGTCAAGCTGAGGAGTAACGAGGGCACGGTCCTCCGAGGAGGCACCTCAGGCTTCATCCTGCCACAGCCGCCAGCAGCAGGGAGGCGACGCAGCTTGAATGTGAAACGCCAACTGCTGAGCCACGGCACAAAAAGCAGGAATAAAGTTCTGCCGGCTCGTGAGGCGTTTAAGTTTGCTCTTGTATGGCTTGATCATTAACCAGACTTCAATAAGAGGAGTGTCACATGAGTGACACGAGACATCACAGTTCTAATGCTGAAGTGTGTCATATCATTTGATTTAAAATGCAAAGACAGATTCAGCTGCCACTTGCAGTGATCTGAAAGCCCACCTGTGAAACATGTCTTAAGGGGATGATTAATATTGCTACTCTATGAAGTATCTCTGGAGACAGGCAACATTGGAGGGGTGCTATGAAGCACTAAAAGGCACAGCTGTGAATGCAAAAATATAAAGGCTTGCAATCAAAAATCTCTGGAGAATGTAACCAGGTAAAAGAAGAAATAGGACAGGTAGACAGAAACAAACGATCCCTTCGTAGCAGAATTTGACAAGTTGAAAAAAAACCTCCACATTTTATTCTTAAAACATGACAAGAACAAGATTTTTTGATTATATGCTGGGGTTTAACCACCTAAAAGTCACCTGTTTAAGTTGGACCTGTCAGAATCCAAGATTGGCATAAAATCAGTGTTTCAAATTACTTTACATTTTATATTACAGTGATCTGAGAATCAGCTCTTAAAATGTGACTTTTGCAAACAACCCAAATCTTTTGATCAGCTCCTTATAACGAACGATAACAAACAATGAGAATCGAGTTGCTGACAATAAAAAGCCGTTCATACTTTTATTTTCTTTTATTCTTTGCTTTTTCCCAGAAAACAGGCAGAGGGGTGGAGTACAGCAGCTCAGGGGGAAATGGGGAGGTGGCTCCCGTTTGACAAAACACATGATACCACCCATGTGACAGAATTTCAACATTACATGTCATGATGACTTACATCCCTACCATTTTACAAAACTTGTTCAAAATTGAACGGTTCTTCCAGATCTGGATTCCATCAAAGAGCCATTCATCCCTTCTCTGATCAGCTCCAAGAATGAAATAAATAAAAAGTATAACATTTGGACAACTCGACTAGAAAACCTCTAACTTATTATCACGTCTGATTTTCAGTAAAATTGTAAAAAACTGTTTCCTCAGTTTATTCTTGTTGTATCATTTTTTGTCAAATAAATTTTACATGTTCCTAATTACATGTTTTGCTAATACTGATGACCTTCACCTTTGATTGACGCCTCACTTACATAAGTCAGAGCTGACTTGTCCAAATGTTACAACAATAAAAGTTTTCAGAGACTTACTTCTAGGAGAAAAAAGGTAAAAGCAAAACCTTAATTTTTAATTTTTAGAACTTTCCAAGACATCTGTTTTGTGGTTTGGTTGGGTGTCATGGTCCAAAGCTACAGTTACACAACTCAAAAAACAAAACCTAAAACCAATTAGTCAAAGCTGACAAATTGTGCATTGCCTTTTTGTTTGTTTGTTTGTATAAATTAGAAATTCTCATGGATGTGCATTGAGCGAGCTAGATCGAGTTTGACGGAAGTTAGTTTAGCTGTAAATGAGAGGAAACAGCTAGTTGGCACACCACCACTGTAACCCTTAGAGCAGGAGTGAATGAAAGTCTGCGCTGCGGTGTTTGATGTTGGGTGGCTGCTGGTGCTTCAGCAAAGCTCCTGATCCCGGAGGAGCAGTGTTTGATCTGGGCCTGTGCTCTCTTGTGTTAGAACAACCTGCTCAAGTTCAAGTAAGTGCATCGTATCAGAGAGCAAAAGAGCTAATCTGCCCTTTGATCTGCTATGTAAAATATGGGGCAAGTATGGCGAGCAGTCAGTATTAAGGAGGAATTTTAAGACTTTTCAGAATGAATGAAAGGAAAAAAAAAGATATACAGCTTAATATTGTGCCACCTCCACTCTTCAGATGTGCATAAGCTCACTCAACTGAAATGCTTGTTTTTTTCAAATCTGCAGATTAAAGTCCACATAGGGATGTTCAAAAGATTTTCTTGAAGATGGAATTTCAATGCAAAGTGCTGCCAAAGTAGCAGTGTACAGATTTGTGCTACAAAGTTTATGTATTTAAATTTTAAAAATGCATATATTAATGTTTTATGCTTCTAAGTTGTGGGAGTTTGGGCTTGATTTTTCTCACACACAAAAATGATTGTAGGACATTTTAAGGCAGGGGTCCCCAAACTTTTCCCTGTAAGGGCCACATAACTTTTCCCTTCTCTGGTGGGGGGCCGGAGTCAGTTTGTAACAGAAAAACTGTGACTATTGCAGGAGTGCCTAAATGTAAAAAAAAAAAAAATTTTTCCAGAAAGCACAATCAAATAAGCCTCTCTGGGTTTTTCACAGTATGTATTCTGCTGAGCTAACAGTCCACCTTTTAGCTTTGACAGTTTGTTTGCTCACATTTGGCCTTGCAAGCTATCATACTTGTCTTTGTGACGGGATTCATAGTGTCACCGCAGATTGTATTCTTTGAATACCGCCACCACCTCTTGACAGATGAACAAAAAAAATATTTGTTTGTCCACTGCAGCTTAAATGTCCTGCATTCTGAATCAATTTTTCTCTTACCTAATCTTTTCACCATTATTCCATTCTCTCTTTGAGAGGGGCGGGTTTAGGATTTTTTTCTGGGGGTTGCCAGATAGGGGCACAGACCTCAGAAGGGTRGAACAGAATGTCACGTTATATGCGTGAATGTATGAAACAGTTACTAACTAATAATAGTTAATAATGAAAATAGTTCATAACTAAGGAACATTTTATTGCAAAAGTCCAACTTTATAATCAAATATAAATACACATATGTGAAAAAAAAAACTAAATGCTCTCTGGTATTGTTCTGGGGGCCAGACCAAATAGGGAGGTGGGCCGGATTCGGCCCGTGGGCCGTAGTTTGGGGACCACTGTTTTAAGGGATTAATTAGTTCTAAAATGCAGCAGGAAGGCAGCCAAGCGATGAAAAGAGGCTCTGGCTAATAAAGCACAGGCATGTGGTTTGTTGTCTTTTTGTCCTACACGCCAAAAGGGGTGCGACTTGTTACATTACAGTGTAAACTAAATTTAAACTTAATATATGGCCGCTCACAAACACTTATTACTCATCGGAGAGTTTATTAAATAAACTGCAGACACAAGATCATATTTAATTGATGTTTTTCTGTGATAAGGACACAGACGCACCAATTCCTCACACAGATAAATGCTTGTTGTCTTGACTCTTCTCTCCACATGTTTCCTCCTCCAGTTCTTCCCTCTCATCTCAGGTGGGAGGGGCAAAAACACAAGAGGAATCAAAAAGAGGAATCGAAATTGAGAACTAAAAAGAGGGGAGTGTCAGGGTTGGTACTGGTGATAACTTTGAGAAAACACAGTGTTGTGTTTTATTTGCTAATGTAAATGTAATAGCATCCACAAAGGCAAAATTATTTTCTGACTCATGCTATCAAATACTTAAACACAATCAAATTGTGATCAATTTAGTTTACTTATTAATTTATGTGTGGTTATTTATTTGGAGAAAAAACAAAAAATTGTGTGTTTTTTTCTTTTATTGTTTTTTTTTTTTTTACAAATACAGTAAATTAGAAAACAACACTTGCAAAATTAAAACACACCATTATTTTATTTTATTTTCCATTTTAATGGTTAAAGCAAAGACAAGCTTCATACATTTTGTTAGAGCACCATGGGACCTTCTGGCGGAACTGGAAATCATGGACTGAACTAATGGATCATTATGGTTTCGCTTCTCACCATGAATATGTTTGTCTTATTTAGAGGACATTGAATAATTTATTGTGAGCTGATGATCATATATATATNGAATATGTTTGGAGTATAGCCTAAGTCAATATTTTTAGAAATGTCTTCTGTCTTTAAGCTGTGTTCCAACCACTACAAACTTCTTTTTTGACAACTTTTGTCATTTCCAGTATTGATTTTAAAACAACCATATATTTTATTTTGGATTTAGTTAGCTCAAGCAAAAATCAAACAGTGTGGATATTTCCATTGATCCATTCCATCCATCCCACTTCTTACTTTTAGGATCACTTGTCACTTGTGCCCATATCCAGCAGTAACAAGGGATGGGGTACAAGCTGGACAGGTCCCAAGTCCATCAAAAGGACACGTAGACAGATGAATAATTAATCTTTCACTCACACTTAGTAACAGTTTAGAGTTACCAATTACCCAACAGTCATGTTTTGTTCTGTGGCAGGAAACCAGAGTACCCAGAGAAAACCCACGCATGCACAGAGAGAACATGCAGAAAGATCCTGGACCGGGATTCGATCAACCGTCTTGCTGAGGCAATAAGCCACAGTCCCACCCTAAAGTGGATTTTTAATCAGTTCATTTTTTTTATTTTTACGTTTAGGTTTTAAAAATGGAAAAGCAAACAAAACCAAAGCGCACAGCTTTATTTTGAAAGGGAAAAATCAAAGAACGGACCAGATGGATTTTTACTGCTTCTGTTTTAGTCTGTTTGATTCATGATCTAAACAAGAGTGACACCAAAAAAAAAAAAAAAAAAAAAAAAAATTCTATTTGATTGCAGTCATAATTTCTTCTTTCTTTCCATTCTAAATTGCTGCTGACTTAGTTTCAGATTTCAAATTGCTCTTGTTCTGCCCTTCAGAACATGCAGTTTTTGCAAATCAGCTGAAAGGTGCTGTAGAGAGGCAGAGAAGGGGAAATCTGATGGGGTTTGTCGCTCTCATGTGATGTGCATGAGGTTGCTCTGCCTGTGGCTTCATTCTGATTCCTTCCACCGTCATCTGCCAGAGATTTTAAAGCTGGGAGTGCAGGGTGGAGCAGGAAGAGACAGGAACTGGAAGAAGAGGGAGGGTTTGGGGGCATATGATGAAAACAAAAGGGGAATGAATAGGAAGACAGAGGAGGAAGAAAACAGATCAGCCCTTGAGCTTGTTTGGAGCTTTGTTTAACTTGTGTTCGTCTCTTTCTACGCTCTCCAACTCATTTACAGCATTGAAAAGTTCTCGTTAACCACCCGATCCCCCTCTACTTCACATCCTGACATGTTCTTTTGAATAGGAGGAGCTCAACTAAAAGAATACATGGGGACAATTTGAAATGATGTATTCTTCAACCAAACATCATTAAACCCTTGCCTCTGGTGTATCAACAATACTTGTGGCAAACTATAAAGGGAATCCTCCTAACCATCAAAGCAAACTGCATGAATAAGTCATCTAACAGCTACAAGAATAAACAAAAAAATAAAATAAAATAAATGCCATGGAAAGCTGCCAACATCCTGACTGAGCATTTCACTGTGAAACCACTTGCAATCGTGCAACTAACAGAGGGGAACATAAAATAAACTATTGACTGAATCTTGGATCACACCTTCCACCACATTTCTTTTTGTTTTAAAAATAAAAGGATACAGCTACATGTTTGATTTAAATAATGTAATTAATATAAATCTAAAGATTAGACAATTTAGGAAAACAGTAAATCAAAAAAGCAGTGCTGGAAGAACATTGTTCTGCAGTTGGAGCTGCTTCATTAGTAGCTGGAGTACATGTAGGGTAGATGTTTACAGTCATGACTGTTGTAATTAACTCCAGTCACAGCTGCAGCTCTCTTCTTCTGACTACCGGAGTACTAAAACTCTTTGGATTGTTGTAGGCATGCAAAGAACGAGGGTTGTGTGACTAATTTTTTTGTGCTCAAGTTCTTTTTCTCATTTATCTATATTCCAGTGCTGATTTTTGAATTGTATTGGATAAATTGTCACAAAAAGACATACCAAGGGTCCAGGTGTAGCAGACCAAATTAACCACTGATTAATTAGCTGGTTGTGGCAGCCATCTTTAAATTAATTGATTCTAAAAGTTAATAGGCCATAGATTTATATTCTGAGTTTTCTTTAAAATGTGCCCAGTGACTCATGAGGTATCTTGCATTAAACAAGTATCAGGTATCAGACATAAAAAACAAAACAAAACAAAACAAAAAACGAAACAATTCATTCAAAAAAACAAAAACAAAAAACAAACAGGTTCTGACTGGGCATAAACATGATTGTCGACTTTTGTTTTTTTAGCATTGGGCAATAACTACCTGTAAAAACTAAATAGGAAGCAAAACATCTCTACTCACGACATAATAACCTTCAGGGGTTTTGCTGAGTGCAGTGACCACCCCAACAGCAGTGATGGGGTCTGTGGGCAGCTGGTTGTTTTCATCAGACATGCTGCACTCTGTTAAGAAATCAGACAAAAGTAATTTTGGTGCTTTTCTAAAGACGCCACAAAAATATAACAACAACAACAACAACAACAACAACAGCAGCAGCAACAACAACAACAATAACAACAACAACAGCAACAACAACAATAACAACAACAGCAACAACAACAACAACAACAACAAT